ACAAAACTCAAACAAATCGAACTAAAAAGGTGATATTCGTAATCAGCACAAAATTCTGCATCGGATGATGTGTCTTTCAAGGAAAAATGAAGAGTGCTTGATTTTTGAATTAGCGGCACCTTACTTAAAACAAGGTTAAGCTAATTTCCAGGGTCCACAAAGATTGTTAATCTAATACATCCATTTAAAGCTCACAGATGTTTATAGTCCATTACATTCTTGGCAGTTGCAGACGTTTTGAATCTTCATCAGATTTTAATTTCATTCAGGTTTTTTAATCGCTCTTGCACTCAGGCTTACAATTTGGATTCGAATTTAACTTTATCGTCTTTTATACTTATTTATTATTTCAGATGATAAAGACTTTAAAAGTCACTACTTAAAGCTCAATTGCAATTCAAAAACGCGTTTTATTTGACGCAAACGCATTTGATGCATTTACTGAACTCGTTAGGGAAAGCGCACTGTTTGCTTTACATAATGCTTAGAACGCGTTGTTTCTGCACGCAAACAACAAACGCGCTTAGATGTGTCAACAAAATTCTATAACATTTTAGACATATTACAATACATTGAAAGTACACTAAATTCTCATAACGCGGGTTTGAGACTAACTAACGTTACTTTTTTTAACGTTACCTACCCAGATCAAAAACGCGTCTAGGGACTAAATGAGCACCACTGGAACGTGTCCCAAGATCAATAGAAATATGTCTTTATGGATTAAAGGTTGTTAAAACGTCATTTCTGCATTCACACACGTATTACCATGCTGCAAAAGTTTTGAACATTTTCTAGACGAATTGTGAACGTGTTGTAAAACATTTTGTCGATGCAGAAACGATGTTTTAGAAATATTAACTCGTAAAAGACATATTTTTTGGCGTTTCGATGCGTTCCAATGGTGTTATTTTAATCGATAAAAGCACTTTTAATCTCGGAAGATAATGTTAAAAAGCGTTAGTTAATCCCAAAGCGCATTATGAGAATTCAGGGTGTAATTTTAATATATCATAACACGTCTAAAATTTTAAGTTGTCTTTTGCAGCGTAGCTTCATTGTTACACAAGCAATAATCTGGAAATTCCTCGGCGATTTTCCAGATAATCGGAAATTAATTCTATTTTTCGAATTTTCAAAAGTCGATATATAAAATCGACGAGGAATTTCCAGATTGAAAATCGCTGGGCATTTCTATAATTTTAGAAAATTGAACTGAAAATTCGACCTCGAATTTCAAGAATGCTGGAAAATCGAAATCGAATTTCCAAGTTTCTTGTAAATTCGATTTTCTAGAATCGATCCTTAAGGAATTTATATATGGACTTTTTGAAAATCAAAAAAAAGCATTTACTATAAATAATTCCCGACATTACAGTGTACAAGGGTAAAAGATGAAGATAAAGAAGAAGTTTGAAGAATGATCGAGTTATAAATGAAATACGACGAGTGTTTTAAAGAGTGAACGACTTTCGTTCAATTGATTCTAAGTCTCTTACATTTGTTCGTAATCAGAAGAAAAATGGAGAAGAAGGTAGGCCATATACTCACGATTGGTCCGAAGGCTTATCATTACCATTGACTATAACAGTGTCATTCGTTTCATTTGGCGTCTGACCATTCATTATACTTTATTAATAACACAGTTACTTTCAGAAGTATTTTTATGTAGTCAAGTTTTTGATGATATTATTATTGTTTACAATAAATATGTGCCACTTGTAAATAATTATATGTTATACTCAGTAATGAGGAGACAAAATAGTTTTTCACGCCTAACTGATGAGTGTAACTGTATTTTTGTTTTCTCTATTTCAGAATAAGTTTGAAAATAATGTACGTCAATATAAATATGTTAATAAACATTTATCGATAATCGGGTATAACCTTTGAGATGGAGTGCGAACGTAAAGTACGGTTTATGAATGAAAAGCCATTCATTCATGGTCGAAATACCTCACAAGAAATGTCAAGACCAAAATTTCACAATTAATGCAGTTTTTTATTTCTCTGTTGATTATAACGATTGAATTCTAGCCTTTTGCTTTACACATCTTTTAACTTTTGTTTACTCATTTATCTGTATTATCCTACAAAATCGTAAGATATGGTTCTATATAATTTTGTCTGGATCTGATTAGAAATATTCACATTCTAATTTTGAATTATCTACACCAAAATCTTTGAAAACTGCGCAAGTTCCCAAGGACAAAGTAAACAATTTCTTGTAGAGCACACATTTCTGAACAAAACGAGACGTCGTCGCACTCTGTGGGATACTTTTTCATGTAACAGCACTCAATTTACAAGTGCGCATACGAGCAAAATTAACGGTAGAACCAGAAAGACATTTCCTCACGCCTTTTTATAAACTGAATGCTATTTCATGAAAAAATGTCGCTGAGAGCTCGGCGACGTCTCCTTTTGCGCGAAAACTTATCTATTTTTCTATATAAAAAGTAATTCGGTTCTGAGCAGACGTATAGAAGAAAAAATCAAAAATAAATTATTTTATGTAATTGGATGCGTGAAAAACCTTTGGTTTTCTGAAATCCCTATTCTCGACACTTTTAAAATCATTTCGAATTAGCCATCGGACAGAACATCGCTCAAAACCCTTAATTATCCTGCTTATTCATTGGGATTTTCCGCTCCTGATTTAGAAAAAGTAAAATTTCTCAACAATGGAAAGGAATTTTAGAGAAAGCTGTCCGCACTTTTAACGCTCGTTTAATGGAGATTCTAATGAAATCAAAAGTTCGGCTTCATCTCTTCACACAAAAAACTAGATAGGGCTGTAAAATGTTGTTTACTGGGAGAGTTCGAGACGTCTATACCGGACAGAGCTTTAACTTCAATCTCGATCAAGCATCATTCTCATACTCAGTTCCTGCTGCTGAATCCGACAAAAATACTTTCGAAAGGTTAGAAGAATGTAAAAGAAACAAATAGTTTGAATTTTCTAGAAATCGAACGGTTTTCCGAAATTTGAGACCCTTCTAGTGACGCTTCTTCATTCAAAAACCAATTTTACAAAGCTAAAATGCAGCCATTCTTGATCAGCTCGTCTACCGATTAATCTATAATTAAGCTTATATCTATAAAATAAATTGGTCTGGAAACTGTGGTTTCTTCAAGTGTGACGAATTTATGGTACATTAATTTTCTCTTAATTGCTTTTTCGATAATTGAGTGCTAGGAAAAGGTGTATATTCAAGTTATTTCTAATTTATTATAAACTTGGTACAGTCAGGTAACCTTTCAATTATGTATTCATGGAAAAAGTGATAGAATAACGACGAGGTGGCCACTTCTTCATCGAAGGTGTATCAAACTAACTCATCGCCATTATCCACGATTAGTCGTCCAAAACCGCCTTTTCAACTCGTGATGATCACTTCTAGTATGCAGCTTTACCTCAGAAAATATCATACAGCCCTGAAACATTTCAATGGACATTTAATAACATATTAGGCCTTGTTTATTCGTGTTTATTCTTCTATTTCAAAACTAAAAAACAATAATTCTATACGTGTTAATCAAATAAGTGTTAGATTTCTAAATGTTTGTGCGTTTTTTTTCGCTCTTAGGACGTCTCGGTAGACAATAATCAAAAGTCAGAGAAATCGTCGCAGTCAATTAAATTGTTTTTGTCTCATTTTTTGATTTATATGTATCATAAATAAATATCGGGCGAAAACGTATGTTATCATTGTTAGACTCAAGTCAAGCTAAGAATTATCGAAAAAGATTGAACGTTTTAGAACAGCAACTAAACATGCACAAGTCTGACTAGACATTAACGAGAATCTAGAGAAAGTGTCTCAATCAATCAGATTGTTTTTCTCTTAATATGGTATACGATTTACAAATGCATTGTATTCAAATGGATCTTCTTGAAGTATGTCGTCTAAGTTTGATTTTGTTACCAGACTCACTTGAATAGTGTTTTGATAGTTTGCTTTACCAGATAGTAGTTTTTCTTTCAGTTGTTCTCCAATCAGAAGACTCGTTTGAGCGCCCGAATAATATGCTGTTGCTCTAACATATATATTTAATATATATGCTTAACATATCACGTATGTATTCAGCAAGTTCTACATTGCAATCAACTGATATATAAACGATGTTTTTAATTCCGTTTTGTTTTAGATAAATGGCAACACCATTGCCCATTTCACCGGAAAATGTAACAATGGCTTTCGCATTTGGATTTGCACTTAATGCTTGTGTAATGACCGGTATCGTTATATTTTGGTCATAAAAACCATGACTATTAACAGCGACAGTTAGACCGGTGTTATTTATTTTTGCAAGAAATGCCTGATTCACGACACTCGAAAATCGTTCACCAATAATGCCTTGGATAACGATTACTTTACCACTTTTGACGTAGTCAATTAAATAACCACTGAGTACATTACCACTTTTTACTGCGTCTACCGTTGCAACAAAATTGAAATACGGTTTACCATTGAAATTAGGTAGCCATACTAGATTGCCAAATAGAACCGAACTATATTTGGCTAATAGACCACAATACTGTGCCGATTCTGGCGAGACCGGCTGAATCATAATACCATCACACTTTTGCTTGATGAATTTATGGACGGTTTCGAACTCGACGTAGGGATCATTGTTGGCATAGGCAAGTGTAGTTTTAAAACAGTTTGTTGAATTAAATGCTTTGAACATACCTTCGCCCACATAACGTGTATATTTGTTCTGGATGGTCAAAACTGCAACGATCTTGTAAACTTTGTTATTTGAACACTGTTGGTTAATTTACACATTGTTTAAATTCAGTCTCTAAAACTACAATGATGTTAAGCATGCAGTTCCACGCGCAATTCAAACACTTGTCATATACATACACGACAGGCAGTATAAAAACTTTAGAAGTGTAGAGCACGTGTATAAATGTGAAACACGGACATCTGTATCGATGTTTGAGGATATCCGGCGCACGTTTCGTAGGCATCTGGTCGAGTGAAAGGCGTAGTATTAAAAACCCGTCGGGAGACTATAGTTATTCGCCTAACCTTCTTATGCATATCCAAATGTATAATTTGTTCCATGTAACATATAAACTCATTTCGCAACATTTTCCACACACACAAACAAATGATGAAGCTAGCACAAATGAGTCTGATGTTGCTGTATATATAAATATCATTCAATCAGAATTTCAATTCAAATCAAACACCCTTAACTCGTTGACAGTGCTTTTCTCATCCGCAAACCTTCTTTATGAACCATTAAAGGTAAGCCACGATCTATTATTGTATAAGAGTGCTTCATCGACTATCTCAGATTTGTTCTAACATAAAGGGCTTCTTTACAGCAAATATTTTCACGCATTTCGGCGAAAACCGAAGGCCCCAAGGTTGTTGTGTTGCGGATATATTGATTTTTTACGAAAAGCTCCTAAAAACACATCTTGAAAAATGGTCAACTTAACCCTTTGCCCCCGGATGTCCCCACCCGTGGGCATTGATAAAATCTATATACAAAAATAACGAAGCGTCATATCAGAACCCGATTTTGTTCCAGCCTTAGAGACTTCATAAGCTCTAGATTGTTAAAAAAGAATTTTTTTGTTATGGAATCTTGACTGATGTAATTAACTTTTGAAATTAAAGAATTTCAAATTTTCGAAGTCTTTTAAAAACTTTTTCCATAGACTTAGCTATAGAAGGGTTTTCGTGTGGTGGTTGATAACTATTGCTATAAGGATCTATTCTATAATTACACAAGAAAATAAAGTTTCGGTCAAGTTGCCTTGGTGCACCGGGTCAAGTAATGAAATATCCACACCATTCTAAAGCCAACATATTTTCCGTGGTAGTGGGGACAAATTAGGGAAACAAAATAATAATAAAATAATGAAAATCGGGCCCGGAGAGTTTTTTTTACATTTTGGATTCAAACGGTACAATAAAATTGCGATGAGCTCATATATGTATCAGAGGTGGGCGATGGAGTATCTTTAGCTCCCTCGCTAGGATCGCCTCGCAGACTTCCTGCCTCTTCATCACCCCGTACGTCGACAAGTTTCGAGAAATCTACTTTACGGGGATCGCCCTGTAGGGTTTCGCCCCGTCATCGCCTCATCTATCGTCAACTATTATCTATCCAAATGAAGTGGCCGCGGTCATTTTTTAATAGTGAAAGATGTAATGCATCGATAGCAATGCAAACGACAAAGTGCTTGCGATTCGAAGTGTTCATCATTTTAACGAACGAAAGTTACCACTTCATATTGTATGAATATAGAGCTGAAGAAAACTGAGTCTTCGAGTTTTGTTTTCACTTGTTGTGTCCCTAGTCAAAAATACATTAAGCTTTCACATCTAACGAGGGAACGTGCCCAAGTGTCCAAGCGCTTTTTAATCGAAATCTAGTGGGTTATAGGTTATCGATCATGCTGATTCCGAATATGAATATGGGAGTTGCCCATAGCTCTTCGAAGATCCGGTCTTCTGGAAAACCAGTTTTCAGAAACTCCAAAAAATAACAAAAACCTTACTTAATCAGGCAGAATTGTAGCGCGTAATTGAGATGCTTTTATGACCCCAAGATTTCTGTTTCAGTTAGTGAAACTTTATTTTCTTGTGTA